TCAATTTACTATGCACATTAATCCTAACAGAATGTTTTGTTCTGAGTAAATTAATAAAATTGAGTAAGTGGTTTATACAGAAAGACAAGATGACTGACTGAGAGAATAAATTTGTGAGGAGGTGACTAAAGACAATACACCTGCAATTCAGGTTTGCATCAAACAAGGTGCTGAGCTCCTTCAGTTTCTGTTCACATTTGTAAATCCCAAGGGTGGTCAGAAAATGCAGGGACTGTTTACCAAAGAAACACCACAGAGAGAAATGCAGAGCTATAAACAGGGAGGCAAGCGTGTTTGAAGCCAGGAGAAGATGTGGGGTGCTGGGTGGGGTGAGTGGCAATGAGCCTTTTATTGTAATTCAATTTTGAACAGTCACCGTATTACTTGTTTGCCTTTATTGATCTACTGTTTATGGGAATTTCTGGCAAATAAAAGCATTCCTCATCCATCTTACTCACCCTCTCTGTCACTGCATGACTTCTAGTCGTTGCCAAAGTCCCAATGGAGGCAGGACACTGAGCTAAGAGAACTTTCAGGTCTGCTTCAGAGAATGGCAAGAATGTTGAGATAAATGGTTTTGAAGTGAGGGGAATATTGTGAGGGAATTAATGACAGTGTGTCTTTATTGCAATAAGTTTAAAAGTAAACACGTTTATTTTCATCATATCTCACGTATGCTGTATATGTGAAACAGAATTTGGCTTTTGTTGTTAATGATATAAAATAAATTACTATTGATGCTATTAATGCAATTAAATGATGACCACCAATCTACATAATCCAGTGATATTTCAAAAGTTAACTAATTTAAATATTCCTTGAAGTCTAGTAGATTCTGACTGCAAATGGATAATCCAATCTGAGCACCTGAAACTAACTAGAAATTTAAATGCAGAGCCAGACTCTTAATTAAAATCCATGTCTTTCCTACGAGAAATGCAGACTGTGCTTCAAAACACAGATATAGAAGTGCCCATTTGAGACACATACATGTTTATAAGTTTGTGATTTCCTGTATTTTTTTAGATTGTTAATAAAATGGAAAATGTTTTTACTTAAATTTTAAAAAATTCTTGGGTGAGAAAACACTAAAAGCGGCAAACTGTCTAAGTACTGTGTGAGAAGTAACACGACAAACCCATTATGTATTTTACATTTGAGATTTAAAGAGATGAAGGGCTAGGGTACAGCCCAGCCGCACAGCACCTGCCTGGCAAGCCCAGGGTCCCGAGTTCAATTCTTGGTACCAGAAAAAAAAAGAGAAAATAGCAAGATGAAAAATATTTTATTAAAGCTTTTATTGATCACATTTTAAAAATATTGTCATTCAGTGTTTTAAATTTTCTTATTTATTTGGTCAAGGTGGGAATGTTTCATTTTTATAAATGTTTCTGGCTCTTTCTTTTGTTTTCATTTCCACTGAAAGGAGAAAACAGCACTGTGAGAGTCCGATGAGACAGAGCTGTGTGTGGAAGAACAGTACAGAGCCATAAATATCTCCGCCGTGATTATAAATGCAGGAGCAGAGTCGATGCAGCTGATGAGTGTAAATGCCATTTACAGCCTCACACACTTCAGGATTGTAAACCCTCATCTGCACAAACAAAAGATGACTCGTAAAATAGACTCCACACGAACATGGAAATGAGGCAAATAAAGAAATAGGTACATGTGCCTAGTGGAACTGGAAATTTTGTTGTTTTCATATGCGCTTATTGCAAATGAGTATTATTTTTTATGTAAGTTTCAGTACAAGCATGGACAGTGATTAATGATTGAAGGTGGGATATGTGAAGAACAGAGGCCAAGGTTTTATATGTGGACAGACCCTAGATGCTAGCCATTCACGATTTAAGTGTTAAATTAGTAAGCACTGGCTAACGATGATGATATTTCCCACACATCTATGCAGCCAGGGCTCACCGATCTCATCAAGGACTGTCCTACTTAAATATGTAATTAATGTTTAAAAAAAAAAGATAGTGAAAATCTTCTAGAATTCCCAAAGCCATAGGAAGGCTACTTTGAGTGCGGTAATGGTAATGGTATATGGATTATATTTCAATAACCCTGTCACAAATAATAATTTTGGAAAAAACTCTATCAAATATTTTAATAGCAACTTTCCAGTTGCATTTTCCTGTGTAAATTAAGACTTGAAATGGTTTGTTTCATAACAACATTTTCTTTATGGTATGCTTTTTTCTACATCAATGATCTCCACATTTTTCCCTTCAAGTGTTGGCTGAGCATTGGTGTGTGCCAGGCATCGGAGGGGAACTGGGCACACAGCGATCAATGCACGTGACACTCAAACATTCCTGGTTTTCTGGAGCTTAGATCTGAGCAGGGCATTGATGAGTGAATGACAGGACCAGCACTCGGCGGGGTGTGCAGGCAGAGCTCCGGGAGGGGGCAAGAGTGTGCCAGGCTGTGCCCACTGCCACCTCTCTCTGCTTTGACTTCTCTGCCTTCCAAAGCAGCCATGGAGGCAAAAGCAGCAGTGTTTACTTGTGGTCTGGCAGTCAGCACCGCGCCATCAGCTCAAACTCTGCAGGGCTCTCAGGGTTCCAGTCCAGGCTCTGGGTTCCTTGAAAGCAAAACAACCTGGTGCTTGTGTCTCACCGATCAAGGGGTGTGGATTACTTTTCAAAGCCTACACAAGTAGACGAATTTAAAAATTTAAGAAAAAGTGCCTTAGAACATGTGGGTACCACAAGACTCACCAGTGGACGCTCCTCACCAATCACTTGTCCTCCCAGGTAATTTAGTGTTCAGTCTTGTTTACAATCACGTGTTCTAAGCTGGTTCTGACTCTTAAGTCTACACATCTGGAGATGTTTTTCACCTTTCAAGACTTCGTATTTCACAGTGTCCATCGTGTGACACCCTTGAGTTGGGCAGGCCTGTAGATGACTCGGGCAGCTAGCTGTGCCCTTTAATTCCCAGAGCACTGTCCTTGCTGATAAAAACTGGGAAGAGGCTTAGGAAGGCTGAGTGACTCGATCTGTATCTCTGGTCTCCTGAACATCAGCTAAGAGGAAAATCGCATGGTGTGGTGATTAAGAGCCAGCACCAAGGTGCTAAACCCAGCATCAGAACTTTATAAATGCAAGAGCTACCTTGGGGTGAGCTGTGTTTAGGGGATTTCCAATGCTCCACGGTTAGGGAGGAGTTTACAGTGATCTCAAGAACCAACATGCTATCTGCAATCAGCAGTTTGAATGCTGGGCCAGGTGTGGTGGTGCACACCTGTAACCCCACTCTGAATGGAGAGGCAGGGGGACCCTTTGCTTTAGGCCAGCACGCATGAGGGCTCAGGCCGTATCTCCACCCCTTAACAGAGGAGTAAGCTAAAGAAGTTCAGGTTTTCTTGTTCAGAACAAATCAGTGGCAGAGATGGGAGAAGCCGGAGGCCCAGGCCACCATCCAGAGCTCCTCAATTCCCAGAGGCGAGAAGGTCTCACGGGGCAGGAAGGCAGCCTCTGCCTCTCACTCCGAAGCCATTTGAGCCTCCCTGTTATTTGTGAAGTTTTGCAAAGAAAAGGTACAAAGGTACAGGGTGGGGGGGGGGGAGTGGTTCTGCAGGTTGAAAATGAAAACTGTCTGCTTATTAGAGTTCCTGAGTGATTTACTACCCCGGTGTCCTGTGACTATTGACTCTCTTGTGTGAGATAGGTGGTGGGGTTTAGCTACTTCATGTGAACCCCAGAATGCTGCCCACGGGTTTATCAGATGCAAAGGGAATGTGCCGTGTGGGTGATGGAAGTTGTACCAAACAGGATGCTTTGCATATCATGTGTTTTTTTGATTTAAGAAAGTGATTAAATATTAACATGATACAACTTGTTTTATATTTAAATTAGCAAAATTGATCTTGAACAATTATTTATGGTTCTATAAAATAGGAAGGCAGGAGAATTCTGTATAATATTTGTTCAGAAGCAAAACCTTTAGTTGGTTAAATTTTTTTTTTTTTTTTTTTTGGTCCTTTTGAAAAAGGATCTCACTCTGCAGTTCAGGTTCGTCTGAAGCTCACTTTGCAGCCCAGCCTGGTCTTGAACTTGCAGTGACCCTCCTGCCTCAGTGTCTGTGCTGGGGTTACCAGCATGCACCACCACGCCCGGCTTAATCGCCTGGATACTGAGGGCCTTTGAGGTGCCCTGCTTCTTGGTCCCCTTTATGCTCTGAGGCTGTTTGCTGTGTGTCCCTCTCTGCCTGTGCTCTTGGCTTATCTGTGTCCCATGAGCAAACCCGTTCCCGAGCTTCGCTCCCCTCCCACAGTTCCCTTCCCTTCCCTTCCCTTGGACACCTGGCTTCTGCCCTCCTTAACTTCCTGCTTCCTCTCACCCTGTGTTAGGAGAGGGAGTCCCTCTGGGAATGTGCTAGACACTCAACTGTTTCCTACTGAGGAAGAAGAAGATCAAAAGGAGGGCACAGAGCAGGCAGAGGGAGCCGGCTGGCTAACTCGGGAAGGAGAGGGACAGGCACTGGACAGAGGCCCCTTCCCGCACGCACATGTGCTGTGGGTATCTGTCAAGGCCTGCACTGAAGTTGTCAGCAGGCTGATGGGGAGATTCCTCTTCCATAAGTACATCGCTGTTGGTGGAAGAGAAAACTTTTCATATTTTGAGAAAAAAATGAAGTGTAAAGAAAATGTATATTAAACACAATATATAAGGAACTCAAATGTCCACTCATTTTTTTTTTTTTTTTAATTTTAACCAGGAATTAAACTCAGGACCAGGCAGGCGTTTATGCCGCTGAGCTGCACTCTGGGCCTGAACATTCTTTCCAGAAGCATCAGTCGCTGAATATCAGGTAATAGCAGAGAAAGGCATAGAGGAGACTAAACACATACATAGTCCTCAGCAAAAGCAAGCTGGCTTTTGTTACAAATAAAGACGGCTAATTACATACGCCTTGGATTACAGTTCTAACGACATGACAACCTTCATTCGGGAACTGCTCCCTCAAGGTCTGAAAGTTATATATTTGGATTTTGGTTTAAACTAACTAGAAGTTAATCTGCAAGTGTCCAGTCAGTATAAGATAAATTCACCAACACGTATGACATCTTGGGGAGAGACACACTGAGCTCTGTGGAGCAGCAGGGTTTGAGCAGCAGAGTAATTAGTGGACTGAGGCAGTCACTACTTTACCTGCACGATCTTCACCTAGCTCGGCTCAAGTGTAAAACCCTCCGTCGGGCTATGGTCATTCTGATAATGTCACGTGCTTAACAACGGTCACTGTCGTGAAAGGTTTAAAGATTTGTGACTTAAAAAGAAAGAAAGTCAGTGTATGTAAATTCCAACTGTAGACAATATAAGCCATTTTAGAACAGGATTGGTCAAATGCCTATCTGAGTTTTAAAGACATGCGATGTTGAAATACTATTACTTTTATAATAATGTCATGATAGAGCACTACGTGGTACACAAAATATCCTTCAACTGCCTGGCTATCATGGAAATTTCTTTTTAAATAGGGAGCACTTCAAGAATTTGCCCGAAATCCTTGCGCAGGGCCCACGCTGCTGTTCTCTGTGTGCTTCCAATCATAGCACGGCTGCTGCTGAAGCCAGCACCAGAGACATGTTTCGTCAGGTTACTAGGAGCCCTGAGGAATTATATTCTGTCACTTCACACATCACAAATAAAATGCCACTACTGGGTAATATTCACTCCATATTGATTTTCCAAATACCAGATTTAGAAGTGTGCATCTCCTGGCACAGATAAAAATGGCAGCACCTCGGTGGCTGTCTACTTTACTCATCTGTCAGTGGAACGTAGGATCTGCCCAGCCAAGGGCTCTGTGTTTCCAGATCTTGTGCATTTGGTGTAAAAACGGCGGGCACACCAACCACAGAAGCCGGCATGCATGGGAGCGAGCCTGCTTCCACAGCCCCTCCCCCACGCCCATTACTGAGGGGAGAAACCTAGCAACCCCCTTCTGTGGCCACCCCAGGCCGCCACTGGCAGCAGGGCTGTAGCCTGTGGGGAGCAGGGAGATTATGCAGAGGTGAATCTGATCCTTAACACAGCTGATTTTTATGAAAAAATGCTGGCTCCGACAATGTTTTGTAGTGTTTAAAGAACAAGCCAGTTGTCACCAGAAGGACGGTTTCCATAGATGTCTCTCTCTTTCCTCCTGGTGGAAGGCTGCATTTCCACAAAATTGAAGAAACTGGAAAAAATAACAAGAGTTGCCAGTTTGGGTCATTTTCAGTTTTACTGTGTACCTTCATCAACCATTTTCCATCACACTATTTTTTGCCACTGAATATTTGGAGGAATAAATAAATTTTCTACTGCCCTTTGCCTGTGTGGGCCTACATAAAGGATTCCAGACACGTTTGTGCTGTAACTTCCAGTGTGAGACAAAAACAAAACAGAGCCCTGCAGCTATATTTATGAAATGAAAGGTAGATCTTTCTGACCACCGAATCTAGATTTCACAGTCAAATCATTTTTTAATACAGAATAATGCAGTGGGCCCCAATGTTTGTTTTTATGGTGAAGATGGAAAATCACAAAGGAAGAGGAAGTGAGTGAAAATTTCAGTGCTTAGCAGAGGTGCCAGGCAATACCACAGAGCTACTGTCTGGCTGAAGATGCAGCATTTTAAAATTTAACAGCTAATTTGCGCAAACACTTTAGCCAGCAGAAGTTTGCCAATAACACTCCAACAGGCTAATATTACTTCTTCAAGGAACACTCACTCGATGTTGCTTTGGGTTCATTTAGAAAAGCATTTCTTGCTTCCAAAGTTGAATGTCATGTCTCTCAATAGATACACCATACTACTTGGACCAATGAAAAATTCCTTCTCAACAGCAGCCTTGTTTGTAGGAACTATTGCCCTACATTTCTTAATTTAGAATAATTTCTTCTGGGGCTTTTTTGTTTTTTGAAGGCCTAGATGTGCCACTTTAGTTTAAAAATACTGAAAATACATTCTCGATTAAAAATCACTCCGACCTTCCCTTGCCATTCTCACAGGAACCCAGACTTCTGAGTTGCTCTTTCTTCTCTTGTCTCCTGACAACCTTCCTGAAGGAGAGGAGACAGAAGGTTTCTGCCTGTGAGCCTTCACCTGAGGCTTTCCTGCCTGGCAAACACAACTGAGATCCAAAAGTGAGCAGTCATAACCTGGTTGAAAGTAAATTTGCATGCATAAGACCTTTCAGCTTTCTTCTAGAAATGACTAAATGTAAAGCTGTCCTACAGTGCTTCAGTCATCTATTCTGTAATTAAAATGTTTTCTTGTAAATGAACGGTGGATATTGATTTGAGAGTTTTGCTCCTTTATATCTCATGATGCAATTTTACCTTCAACCCATATGACGTGGAGGCATTTTAGCTTTAGTGGAAAATGCTGGTGATTTAGTGATGTTTTACTAAAATTAATGGGATACACTCTGATTTTTATGGAATTTCCCAAAATGATGGAACTGAGGGGACAAAAACCCTATAATGCAATGTTGTTTTAGCTATCACAGAGACAAAATAAAAACCATCCCTGAACCGCTTATATAAAAGGTTCAGGTTGGTGAAATGCAGACCTTACTCCTGAGTAGTGAAGAGCGATTCGGGCTCCTGGTTGACAGGCATCCCAGTCTGCAGGAACTGCAGCAGGCACAGAACTGGAGAGCATGGTGCCCCACAGGAGTGATCCAAAGAAACTGAGATTCTGCTCACAGGCCAACAAAGTTAATAATACAGTCTACTTACCTTTTCAAGTTTATTATCTTCTTTTATCCTTTAAGCGTTTTCTGCTAAAGATACAGGGTGGAAAACTGTGTACCATAGGCGGAGGTCTGGAGTCACTAATGAAATTATGGGCGAGATGCATGACAATGACACCTTTCTGCAGGGCGCCCATTGTGATTCCAGCCTCCCGGGGGAGGATCACCGGCTTCTGTCAAATTCAGCGCTGCTGCATCCCTGTGCGGGGAGAAACCGCTGCCTTTGAATCATTAAAAATTGAAAAGCGATGGATTTGACTACTAGGCTGCCTAACGCTGGAGTTGAAAGCCCCGCTCCTACCCAGAGACCCTGGTTCTTCCCGGTCTGCGCCCCCTTTCCTCAGCCACTCTCCAGAGGCCTGGTGCAAAGCAAAGGGAGTTGAGTAGCGCCCATTTCGTGAGGTCGCTCCGAGGGGTAGGGGAAGAGAGGTACAGAGTAGGCAGAGACGCTGGGACAGAAAGAAAATAAACACAGCAAGGAAACGGGGGCGACGGGGGGAGGGGTGGGGCGGAGGTCACCGAGCCAGAGTCTCATTATTATGCTCCTATCCTCCGGCCGCCAGCCGGGTGTGCACCATAGCGCGTGCTTCCGGAGGGGTTCCGGGCAGTGAAGCCCCCAGGTCAGCATCCCCTGCTGGCCACTCGCTCCCTGCAGTACAGGGGGCAAACCCTCAGCGGTCCCAGCATTTACAGACCGCGGGTCTGCAGCCAGGCCCTTTCCGGTTAGGGACCCCATGGCAGCCTGCACCCCGGGCCCCTGGGTGCTGGAGGCCGCCGTTCCTTGGCCAGGAGCCCGGAGACAGGGCTCGAGCGCCGGGGAGGCCTCGGGGGACCCCCTGCCTCTTCAGGGGACGCCCTCCCCGTGTCCCTCACGTTCCACCCTGGGCGCATCCTCCGGGGCCACCTGTTCTCTGGCCACCCTCTGTGCCTCACCCCGGCAGGCGGGGCAGGGCGGGGCGGGGCCCTCGGAGCAGCAGCCCCCCACCCCCCACGGCGCCCCTCCTGCCGCCGGATGCCCCCGGGAGCGGAGTCCCTCGCCCCCTCCCTGGCCCTCCGGGCTCTGGCTGGGGAGGACGGCGCAGCCCAGCCCCGTCTCTTGCTGTCCGCAGCGGGCCGGGACTCGGTGCTCTCCAGGTGAGCCCCGCCGGGCCCAGCCGAGCCGGGAGCGCCGGGACCCGCCCAGCAGGCAGCACAGCGCGCCGGGGCGCGTGCGGAGCGCGCTCCCGGGCACGGACCCTCCCGCCGCCGCCTCCCCCTGGCGGCGCGGAGTCTGCGCGGGAGGCCGCGCTCGCGTGGATCGGGCTGCCGGGCGGGGCGGGACTGCGCCCGACGCCGCGCGCTGCCGAGGGAGGGGAGGCCGCGTCCGCGCTGTCCCCGCCCCGCGAGGAGCCGCCCCCGCCGCCCCCGCCGCCGCCGCCGCCCGCGCGGGATAAAGCGGGGCCGGAGCGCGGCGCCGCCAGGTCCCCGAGCCCAGCGCGCTGGATGGCGGCGCCCGCGGCCGAGGCGAGGCAGCGATAGGGACCCGCGCCGCCCTCGCCGTCCGCTCCGCCCGCGCCCGCGCCCGCGCCGCCCGGCCCCGGGACCCCGGCCTCGATGGCGACCATGGCCGCGAGCCGCCTGCTGGCCGTGGCGCTCGCGCTGCTCCAGAGTGCGCTGATCCGGCCCTCGGCCGCGGAGCCGTTCCCCTCGGCCGTCACGTAAGTGCTGGGGCCGGGCGGGCGGCGATTGGGGCTCGCGAGGGGATCGGGGCGCGCGGATCCGGGCGCGCGAGGACCGGAGCGATCGCGCCCCGAGACGCCCAGCCCGGCTCCCGGCACCCGGACTCCGGAGCCCCGGACTGCAGGAAAAGTTTGCGGCCCCGCGTGCCCGCTCCCAGCGGCCCGGCTCCGGGAAAGTTGGCTGTGGCCCGGGTGCTCGGCGCGCGATCAGTCCCAGCCCACGGGCGCCCCCGGCCTGCGCGCCCCACGCAGCCCAGCTCGGCACCAGGACCGCGGGCCAGCACGGCCCGGGGAGCGGCGGCGCCGCCCTGAGGAGCACGGCCCCGGCTCCGGAGGGACGGAGGGACAGCGTCCCCGGGCTCCCGCACTGTTCCTCGTTTTTTTACATTTTTAAATAACTTTGGTGCAAAAGGGGGAGGACAATTTTTGGTGGCTGCTGTGAACCCGGTGCGTGGAGAGGCGCCGGGAAGGCGCCGGGGAGCGTCCTCTGCTCTCGGGCGGCGCGGGAGGAGCCGAGCCGGGGCGCACCGCACGGTGCACGGATGGAGTGCGCGGAATCGCCCATCACTCAGGCCTTCTGGGAAAGCATTTATTTTGGTTCTTGAAACCACTTTAAAGCTTCACAGAGTCGGTGCACTTAAGTGGATGAGTCACTTTCATGCATTTTACATAACAAAAACACAAAGCCCGAGGTGGCCTCCGGAGCCCGCGGCGGGAGCGGCGCGCTGCCCTTTGTTGGCGGGGCCAGGAGCGCCGGGCCGTCCGGCGTGGGGCGCGCGTCCTCCGGTGCCGGCGGGGGCCTGAGGCCGCCGGCGTGTGCCGCCCCCGGGTCTGTCGCCGGGGACCGGAGGCCGCGCAGCCGGCTCGGGAAGGCGAGCGAGCCGCGAGCGTCTCGGGTGGCTGTCCCTGATTTACAGTCCTGTTCCTCTTCGGATGATCGTCCATAAAACCACTGCGAATCCTGTTGGTTACGAAGCGAAAAGGGTCAGTGCCATCTGTAGATCTTCGCCGAACTGACAGGTGATCCGAGGGGATATTTTTAAACCGAACAAGTGGGAGAATTCCCCGAAGAGGCGCTGCCTCCCTCTCGCTGTCATTAGGAAACCACGCTGTTGTTTATTTAATGCTTTTAGTGCTTTTGTAGCTCGGCCCATTGGGGAGGAACTCAAGTGACTCGTAGTGGCTTTTCTTGAAGTCACATTGTTAATGTGCTCGGCTTACCCCTTGTAAAAGCGTCGTTTTAAACCGAGAATTTACCCCTAGTTCTGGCATTTGGGGAAGGCAGCATTACCCTGGAGAAAAGCAGGCCTTTCCTAGCACAGCCTGGACTGTGGCGCGGGGTCGGTGCAAAATCCTTACTGTAAGGAGGTCTGTAAGGAGCGCTTCCCTAAAATAAACACAACCAGGTTTTCAGAGTCAGAAAAGGGATGAGAGAGAGAACACATAGTGGGTTTAGGGGGATGAAGACAGCACAGTTTCTTTTCTTGGAAAGGATTTGGCTTTCTTTTCAACGATGGAAATGCAAGGTATTTTCAAATTATGTGAGACATTATTTCTTTCATGGACAAAGAACAGTTTGGACAGAGCTGAGCCACTCTCCTGTAGGCGATGTTAGCGATGTTTTTGGACGGCTTTTGCATCTTCTAAGGTTTATCTGAGACGTTAGCCAAACCTGGGAAGTGGGAAGTGACAGGTGCCATTTGTCCTTCTTGTTAGATCTCAGACTAAGTTTAGTCTGAGAAATTTAAAAAATGGCATTAATTTCATCAAGATGTGGTGCCATTTGCTTGTGAAAAGATTTCGTTTATGAGGATAAATCTTTTGAAAAAAACCAAGTTTATAAAAGCTGGGTAAGAAATTATAAATGCTGGGTAAAGGGAAAGTACTAGTTTTTTGTATATCTGAAAATTAATACATTTTTATTGTTTGCCACCTTATTTTTCAAGAAATAACATAAGTTTTACTATCAGAAGAGGAAGAACGTATGGTTAATGCACTATAAAACTAATTAGGTACTAATTGAAGTTGGAATGAAATACAATTAGTCTTTCATTTTTAAGGTAGTGTTAATAGAATGGAGGGCTTAAGTTTTATAATTAAAGATAAGTAATGTGTCATTCTAAATAGTTACTTTAGTTTTGCACTCTTCAATTTGACAAACATTCTAATAGAGCATATTTTGGATTAAAATACTTAAACTGTTCTAAAAACTAATGCTAAAAAACTGCAGTAGTATTTTTTCACACAAAGGAATTTTGATAGCAATTCTTTTTCTGCATTAGATACTTCCTTTGGAAATGTTTGTCTCAGTAAGGTATGACTCAAAGATGTGATATGGTAGCAGCCACCTAATACATAAATGGTTTTGGTTTCAATACAAAATGCAATGCGTTCATATCCTATTACATGTACATTATTGTGGTATCTTAAAAATATAGTTTTCAAAAAAGTACAGGTTTTTAAAAAATTCTCTGCACATGTTAGAACACATGTATTTTAAAATTCAGAATTATGTGCATATAACCAGTCGTAATGTTAATTTAAATGTTTTTAATTTTAGAACTTATTCATAAACCAGTTGTTTAAAGCATCATCCTTATTGTTCATATTACACCTTTATCTCAGTCATATTAAAATGGTAATCAGTGAAAAGTAATTGGCTGAAAGCTCATTAGTGAGATTTTAATATACACTGTATAATGGTGCCAGTATTTAACTAACCAACCCAGATATCCACAGAAAAAGCATAAAACCTCATACAAGACTAATATTCTTGACTATTTGTTTTTAGACATATTTATATTTCAAGGCTGTAGAAAAGAAATTTCTCTGTGTTGTGGCATTTGAATGACTATTCTCTGTGTTAAGAGTGACATGGTTATTCACTTGAGTTTAACAATTTCTGTGTGCATATTGCATACTTGTGCACAGGGAGATATGCCTTCTAAAAGTGGGAGAAGATATTAAACATCTGAGAATCCCAAAAACAGTGGGCACTAATGAATCTTTTGTTCAGACCTTCGATTTATTCTCATGGTCTGTGCCATGTAACATGTATTATTCTACAGGTGTGTGCTTAAACATGGAAAGGTAAATATAGATAGTAACATAATGTTAAGCGTACCATCACACATTGGTACATATTTAGCTATTTGCATTTGCATTCCAGTGAGTACTAAACAGACTGAAATAAATGTAATTTTTAAAAATTTGGGGAAAGATAAAAGAATACGTGCTTATAATTACTTATAAAAGAAAATAAATTACATTATCTTTTGAAGAGTACAAAACTAAATGTTCATTATCTTTATATGACTTTCATTAATTTTAATTTAACAATACATGTAAACCAGAATATAAAGCATGTGGTTCATTTAGAAAATGAAGATAAACCCATCACTCTGTTACTTCAGAGAAACCTGCTCCATAGACATCTTTCTATGATTAATTCAACAATAATAGATATGAAATAACAACCAAGTACTCCTAGAGCTTGCAGTTTTTGCAACAGTATAAACAAATGCAAATTATATGTTGCATGTAAATTTAGTACTTGCTTTTAATGTATATGTTCAAAAGAGACGACATTCTAGAATTCTAAAAAGTAATTTGAAAGTTATGATCATAGAAACTGTATTATCTGATTCATATATTCTGTGGTGCATCATTATATAAAATTCCTACCTCAGTTTTTCTTCCCTATTTGTTAATACAGATGCAAATTTCCAAGCAAGTTCTCTGTTTTTCTTAATTCACCTCTTATTTCCTAGTGTGTGTCCTCCAACTGTTTATAATTTTAAACTGGAGACTTAAGAGGATAGCATAAAATATATATTTTTGGTAATTATGCAACTCATTAATCTTTTTTAGTGACTTGTGTGTGGGCATTGACCAGCTGTAACATAAGCATTGATAGGATTTTGGGGGAAAAGTCAGAATTTATTTGTGCATTTCTAAGAAGTGAAGAACCAGCCTTTCCTCACTGAAACCAGGAGAGCGTCCCTGTGAACCTGCAGACAGCCGGCAGGCTTAGTGTGGGGAGCCAGCCCTGTTCCATTGTCTCCACCCGCTCGGACCTGCGGCTTGCAGCAAGTGCGCAGAGCTTCTGCTCCAGCATCCACCAAGCCTTTGCATGCACGGAATCTCCCAGGGCCACCGTCTCCCCGAGCCTTCCATGCAGCTGTTTTTCCATCACCTTGGAACTGGGCCTGGAAGGCCGGCCCTGTAGCTTACACTCCACGGATTCACTTTTCCTTTTGTGTGCTTACAACATGAAAACGGTCGTGTCATATTGTTTATGGAGTTGAAAGAAAAAAATGACTCACTTGAATGTCAACAGAATAATAGGGGTTAGGAGTTTGTGAGCAGAAAGTGGCAAACACACCTATCCCGTGGGGTCTGAGAGATTAACATTGCATAATTAGATACTTTGCCTAGTCTATATAATTACAGTATTCTGTTTAATGGACGATAGTTTGTGTGTGGAAACAAACCTCTGTGCATGTGTGCATACACATGTGGGTTACAAAAGAAAGCCTGTGTAAAGTAAGTTCATTAACAGGTTTTGTGCTGTCAGGTTTCTGGCAAACCCCCACTGTCTTCAGGGTTTAAATCCTATTCAGAGTGTTTTTATAACAGGAGCATTTTAGCATAATTGTCAAGAGAATTAAAGGAGACCTTATGTACAAAAGCAACTTGAAAATGCTCAAATCCTATAGAGACAAGTTAAGAGGATTGATGGGTAGCCAAAGGGAAAAAAGCATTTTCTACAGAGAGATGCAGCGTCTTCCAAACAAAACAAGGGTGAGAAAAAAAACTGCTGCACTTGGATCTTGGGTACCTGTTAAAGCGTTGTTTGTGTATTAAACAGTTTCATTTTTGCATTTAGATATGGTGTGCTTTGAAATTAGTACTTGACAGTGTCATATTTTCAGAACACGAACAAGCATGAACAGGTTGTAAAATCGGATTTGTAGACT